ACTCTAATTATCGTCGCAAGTAATAGCCATGGATCAATCATATGTTTCTTGTAGAAAAACTACCACTGAATTCCATGTGTTTGTGATTATGATTCAAGAATTAATATCACATAAATAATGTTATTATGACAACCAGCATGCTCAGTGCCGCCAAAGTTCATGCATACCTCAAAAAAGGCCTTGCCTGTGCCAAATATAAAATCAGTGGCACCTTGTATGTAGCACCCACGGTAGTAGTGGCGCCCAGTCATGCAACGCCGCCTTGTCACCGTCAACTTTCACAGCAACAGTTGCGCCTTTACCCTTCCCCCTAACACGTTCTCAGGGACGGATTAACCGTCGGAGCCCCCCTTCCCCGCTAACATGCTCTTATGCAGTAGGGAAAGGCAGTGCCTTCACGTACGCTAGCTAATTCATCGTGGAAGAAAAGGAGTAACCTATATATATATTGAGTTGTACCTTCACACACACTAACTGCTAGATGAAGGAAAGGAGTGAGCTAGAAAACTCTCCTTTTAATTCTTGTCTTCAATCATGTATTGCTATAGTCTATATTAATTCTGTACAGACATAGAGGGCCTTTTTGGTTCCATTAGTCCCTAGATTAAAGTTTAGTCTAGAGACTAAACCAGAGACTAAACTTTAGTCCATATTCTAGGGACTAATGAGCATTAAAGGTGGTGAACAAAGACCAAAGTGGTCCTATTAAATGCACATAATCTTTGCTCCTAGTCAATAATGAGGGTAGGGGTTGTCCTTTTGATCCTTTAGTCCTTTTTAGTCACCCATAAGTGACTAAAAGGCTAATTCACTTTTAGTCAGCCTATATGGCAGTTTAGGGACTAAAAATGGCCAAAATAGGGTGACTAAACTTTAGTCACCCAAACCAAACAGGCCTATGCAGCGGTGGTAACAGGGGTGGAGACAAGGGGGCGGGCAGGGGCCTAGGCCCCCCTATGAATGCAAATTTTTCCACTAAAATTTTTAAAATTCAAATAAAATTTGAAAATTCAACACGGTTGGCCCTCCCTAGCATTTGAAAAATCTGCTCCTAGGTGGTAACAAAGATGGATTTAATCTTATCTTTGGCTTGTGTGTAGCGTGAAAGACGACATCTAAAATAAAATGTTTTCTTTTTTTTATTCTGAGTTTGATTGCTTCTTTTTCATTATTTTTCTTTCATTCTAAGTTCTGGAGTTCTCCATGCTTATTTCTTCTATTTTAATGTTAAGAACATATAATAAATACAACACTATGAGTCTTTGAGCTCTTGACCATCGATTTTTTACCATGAGAGAGTGTTGATGTAGTTATGATTAGAGGCAAAACTTATTTTTATTAAAATCTGGATCAGTGTATAATCCAACTAATCAAATTGTGAAAGGAAATATTGAGTAGTTTGTTGTCGATTCAGTCTAAATAAATAAATGTGTCTTCAACCTATACGTATGTAGCAATGCAATCCTCATTGAAGACTAGCTCCCATCATAATCATCAGCGCACAAACAAGTTCTTGACACTCCAATAACTAACTCCTTGCTGATTTTAATAAAATATTAGAATTATAGATTTTTTTTGGGTCCTCAAAGCCCGCAAGTCATCAAACTACTCAATATTTTGTTTCAACTGAAGACATGTTTTCTATATTTGGTGGAAGAGCTCACGTACAATTAATGCACTTCCATGCATAAGTTCAGGGTAGGGTAAGGGTGTGGGAAGCTTGGCTGATTGGTTGATTTGAATACCGGAGTGATTGGTAGAGATCGAGATGTAGGGGCAATCGATGCAGAAATTATGTATGCAGCGGTGGTAACAAGATGGATTTAATCTTCTCTTTGACCTGTGTGTAGCAAGTGAAAAACGGCATCTAAAATAAAATGGAGGGAGTAGTTCAGTTTCTTTTTTCGTTCCGAGTTTGATTGCTTCTTTTCTGTTTTTTATTTATTTATTGCTTCTTTTTCATTTTTTTCCTTGTGTTCTAAGTTTTGATTTCTTCTTTTTATTTTTTCCTTGGAGTTTCCCATTCTTATTTCTTCTATCTTAAGAACAAATAATAAATACAACATTATGAGTCTTTGAGCTTTTGACCCTTGGATTTTTACCATGAGTGTGTTGATTTAGTTATGATTAGAAGCAAAACATATTTTTATTAAAATCTAGATCAACGTATGATCCAACTAATCAAATTATGAAGCGAAATATCGAGTAGTTTGTTGTCCATTCAGTCTAGATAAATAAATGTGTCTCTTCAACCTATACGCATGTACCAATGCAATCCTCATCGAAGACTAGCTCCCATCATAATCATCAGCGTACAAACTAGTTCTTAATTAACACTTCGATAACTAATTCAGCCTAGAATTATAGAATTTTATAGGTCCTCAAAGCAAGTCATCAAACTGGATGAAACTTTAACAACACATGAATAATATGAAAGTTAAAGTTGTGACATATTTTTACGATTAAATATAGCCGGTGTACTTTAGAAGCTGTGTAGGAGAAGGAAGAGGGCCAAAAGAAAGGAAAATGTCTTTAATTTGGTCTCAAGTATATGACCTGTTTATTCGTGCCCCAGGTTTTCAATACCAGATACACATTACACATGCAAGTATATATAACACGTCCCCATATGATACGACAGCAAACAAATATATATAGATAGAGAAATGGACGGAGCCAGGAAGTTGATGTTTTGAATTTTATTTTTTGGTGGGTGGGGGGGAGCTCCAATTTTCCACTAAATTTTTTAAAATTCAAATAATTTTGAAAATCCAACACTGTTGCCTCCCCCCCACCCACCAAAGGGGAGCCCCTATAGATGGGGTGGTCACACACGAGATTCCTGAACAATCTATAGTAGGTCAGGTTGTGGCAATCCTGGGTCTTCCGGCCTAGCGATACAGTATTTTGAGTTTGTACAATAGTAAATGAACATATGGGAATAGTAGAAGATCTTTGGGATGCATGGTAATAATTTAAAATGTACTTTTAGAAGATTAGTAAATAATAGACTGATGCCTCAGTGAAGGGAAGTAGAACAGCTGGCTTCAACGGTTAGCTACATCGATGAAGAGATTCTATGATCTTGCTTTTCCACTCATCTAATCAGTCCCTTTACAAATTAAGTAGGGGAACTCAGCTTGTCTATCTTTCAGCAATTTGGTCATTAAAAGTCCCACCCAGAGCACTTTTTTTTTCTCTGGTTGCTTTCTAGGAATAGAACTAAAACTAGAGATAGAATGAGTAAATGAAAAAACCTAGATGACTTATCCTGTCTGTTCTGTTCAAAATATGAAGCTGTAGCTGAGTAGCTGCACATCCTGAATGCGTACCCAGAGTGAGACAAATCCTTGCAATTGAGATGACACAGTGATTTTTCCTTCCCAAGGTTTGTATCCAAGCATCGTGACTTAGTTCTTGCACCGTTTTGTCTTTCATTCTTACCAACTCGAAGAGATGAGGAGCTAGGTTTTTGGGCGCCTCGCCATCCAACCAACTGTGGTGCGCGAACAAGTCAAGGTCGGCGAGCTGCGGGTTCTTCACGAGCCCACTGGTGAGCAGGACTCCAACATCATGACGAAAGGGCTCACAACGAAGACATTTGACGCGTTTCGAGACAGTCTTTGTGTCACTCCGATGACCCGTCAGCCTGCGGGGGCGTGCTGAATTGTAGCATAGTTCAAATGTTCCTGTCACACAGTTTTTCCGCGCCTCGCGCCCAGTCCACGCCAGGGCCAGTCACGACGTCGCCCACGCCGCGTTGCTCCGTCGTGCGCTCGTCTTGCTAGAGCGCACTCAAACGCCATGAGATCAATATATACACAAAGTGTTGTTGGCTCCATAATCGCTCTTTCAAGTGCAAGCCGCTACAGCCGTCACGTGGAAGTCGATAGCACGGCACGCGGACAGGATACATCCACGTCCGCTGCATTTTCGACGTAATGCCACGCACGCCGTGGCGCGTGGTGTCGCCAGTCACGACGTTGCGATTTCTCACGGGTGTGTATATATGCCATTGCCATGGCGTGATGGCGCTGACGCGGACGCGGACGCACGGGGTGTGTGTGCGTGTTGCAGCTGTACGGTATGCACCGTGGCGAGCTCCGAGCTGTGCGCCGCATGCATGCTTGCGCCTTGCGTGCCAGCGTGTCGCGGCTCCGGGTCGCGCCGGCGCGGGCGCGCAGGTTACAGAGAGCTCCGCGACGGGGTGAGTTCCTCCATTGACTCATTTCTTCCCCCTTCCTCTCTGATTCGTCTTCTTCTTGCATTTTGTGCACCTCAACTCCTCCATGGTACTTTGCATGAGCAGGGGGAGCTGTGGCCAAGCGAAATGTACCATGTACGTGGCAGGGCAGCTGGCGGAGGCGTTGTCGCGGCACAAGCGAGCATTGACACCTGCAAGCCGCAAGGCCATATTTTCTGCAAATTAAAAGGTGGAATTGTGGTCCTCTGGCAAATATTTTATATTTTTTCTATGATCTTCAGACTTCAATCTTCATCCTGAAATTTCAGTTTATCTACCATTTGGTTGGCTGTCAGAGTGTCTCGTATGGCATATACATTTCCGACTCTGTAGTCCTGTGACAATAACTCATTCTGATAATATCAGTGAAAATAATTTCCCTTTTACTATGCGAAGTTGTTGGGTTGAGACAAATTTACATGGCAAAGATGTTGCATCCTTTTCCAGTCAAGGCTGGTTACTAGCAGAGTTTCAGTTCTGACCTAGGGATTGTTCTCTAGAAATTGCGGAACATGGATTGAAACATCAGCTAGCATCAGTATTGTTGAAAGTGTAAACTGAATATTTTAGATGGGAAGCCTCAACAAAGAAGATGCATGAACAAACCGCTATTCTAGAAAAATAACAGAGTCAATGAAATTGGTCGGCCTTGAAAATGTACAGATAGGACGGAGAATTCGTTAGAGAATAGACGAGAGCTCCCTCGCGTCGTCTCCTCGGAGACAACCCGAGGGCGACTGCCTCGCCGGCCTAGCGCCTAGCCGCCATCGCCGCCGTGGCACCACGCCTCCTCGTCGGTGGCGGCGGCGGCCAGGGGAAGGGGCTCAAAAAGGCTTCCATCCTCGTCCTTCCCTCCTCTCTCTACACCTTCCCCCCTCCAGCCCAAATGCCTCGATCTGTTATTGTTTCTGCCAGATCCTGAGGGCCGGATCCGTGCGTGGGGAACCTCGATGTGGAAGGGTCCTGGTGTTGGCGCCGGCCACGGCTGCTGGAGTCGCCGTCTGCGAGGAACCGGCCGCGGGGGCGCCGAGGATGCACGGGGCCGCCGCGTGGGGGCTGCGCGGGCCTTCGCCTGACGGCCATCTGCGAGGTCGCCGTCGCCACCGGCTTCGCCGAAGAGGCCACTTCGTCCGGCAGGCGGCGCGCCCTTCTTCGTGGAGGCGTCGCGGGTCGTGGAGGCGCCGCAGCGACCCGCAACAGGTCGCTCCGTGCGGCCAGGCATTCCGTGCGCGCTGGGGGAAGGGGCAGCTGCTGGGGCGCTTCAAGGTCCAGATCTGGGCGGTCATAATAACGTCGACCACGCCGCCGCCCTGTCTCGCGCGCGGGCAGGGTAAGGCAGCGGCCTGCGGCTGGCTGTCGGGAGGGCAGCGCCTGTGGCCTGCTTGGCTGGGCTGTTCGGGCGCTCGGGTGGCCAGGCGCCCGCGTGCTCGCGTGCTCGACTATGCGGCCTCTGCTGACCGCTGGCTGTGGTCTTCGGCCCCCCACGACGGAAGAACGGAGGGCCTACATAGCGCCGCTGCTCCCCTCGGGCTACCCTTCGTCGGCAAGCTCGGATTGTCGACGTGTGCCCCGGGCGCCGCGGAGGTGAATGGCCAGGCTGCTGCCGCAGCCAAATCCGACGGTGGCTGGGGCCAGCTAGCGCGGCAAGCGGCGGCGCGACGCTGCCCAAGCGCTCGTGCGCGCTGGCATTTGGCGACCCGCTGCTGGCCAGTCCTCGCGCGCTGCCTGCAACGGCACCGCCGGGGCGACCAGCTCCACGGCCACACCCGCGCACGCCTGCTGTGGTGGCAACGGCCGGGCGATTTGGCGCTGCGGGCACGCTATGGCCCCACCCCAGATCCAACGCCGCCTGGGCCGGTGGGTTTGGCGAACGATCGGATGCGGTGGCTGCCCGTGGGCGTGTAGGCATTATCTTCTGGGATGAAAATCCTTCTCGAGTGCTCTTACAATGACGATGGCGCCTACGGATGTTAGTCTCCTTCCTAAAGGCGTCACTGGAGCACTCAAGCTGCCCTTCCCTCCGGCTCTGCCACCAAACTCCTGCTTCTTCTCGTCGTCTGCAGGTCTCGGGGCGAAAGCCTTTACTAGCCTGGTGCTTTGGTCATTGATGATGGCGTTCGTGGACGTCATTTCCCTTCCTGAAGGCATCAACACAAGCACGCCTGCCTCCGTCGAGCCCGGCACGACCTTGTGCTCTCCCTGGTTGCTCTCTCACCCTTTTGTGCCTCCTTGCTCCTTATTCCCCTCTTGGGTAAGACTAGTCCTGGCTGTCGTTGCCGATGTTTCGACGAGTGTCCTCCTTGGCATCTCTGCTCCGTCAGCGCTCTCCTTGATGGTGCCAGAAAATCAAATGTCGGGTGGTGTTTCCATCGCTGCCACCATTCCCCTCCATGGTTTCGTCCCCATGGACGGCTTTGAATGGTGGTATGTGGGCTCAGAAGTGTTATAGGTGTCACCATCAACTTCAAGGGAGGTCGCCGTGTCTGGTGATCTTGAGCTTGCATGTCCGTCACTACTCTTAGTCCCCATTCCACCGTTGGTCCTCAAATGGAGGGCGGTAGCGGAGCGGCATAGCTACGAAGAGTGGTGCAGGACATAATGGTCACGGCGTAACCGACGAGTATGTTGTTCGGCGATGGTGCAAGTCGACGATCAGTTGGCGTCCTTAGGCTTGTGTCTAGGCTTTTCCTTAGTCCTCGTGTTGGTTCTTCTTGTTGTTTCTTAAGTATTGTTGTTGCTGTTGTAATCACTCCCCCCTCTTATACTTCTCTAGACTTATTATATCTAGATTGGCGCCACGCCCTTTCACCTTCCAGGTTGCCTGGCACCTGTGGAATGAAAATTCAGGTGAGGATAGTTCATCAGCTTGCCCGGCATTTGTGGAATGAAAATTCAGGTGAGGATAGTTCATCCCCCGGTGACCTTTAAAAAAATGTACACATAGAGACAAGAGACCTCATTCCTATTGTGGGCCCGGGCTAGCGTCCGGTTGTAGGCGTCCAGCGGCCAACGCGGTCAGCTGCCGTCTTGTTGTCGTCGTCGGGCAGCGGCCCCTGCCTCGCTGCTGCTAACAGCCTCCGGCGACTCACAAATTGGACCAAACAAACATGATGCAGTGGGCGGCACGGTGCGATGGACTCCGGGCGCGCGATGGGCCGTCAATTCCTTGTTTTCTCGCGGTGAATGGAAGGCAATGGGATGGCCTCAATGGAAGGCCCGCGGCAATTCCTTCCTTTCTCACAGTGGCCCGCGGCGATCGTAGAGTCTCGCGCTGATCGCACGCGGTAAGTTTGCTTATTCAGACGTTACGCACGCGCAGCAAAGCCGTACAAGTTTTCTAGTCGAACCCTAACCTAACGCGCGGACTCTGGGGCCGCCGGAACAATGCCGTCGAGTGCGTCAGGATCCGACCTCCTCTTCTCCACTTCAGCCCTCTCCAGCGGCGGCGGCGGTGTCAGTGCCACTGCTACCACAAAGTCCATCAGCGGGATAGAGGTCGAGACGAGACCCACTAGTAGAGAAAAGGGCTTTAGTCCCGATTCTCAACCCCCTTTAATCCCGGTTTTGGAACCGGGACTATGCAATCGGGACTAAAGGTCTTGATTTTTAGTTCCGGTTCCTCCAACCGGGAGTAGAGGTGTTTATTGGGTAAAAAAATTGCAGCTGTGGAGATTCGAACATGCGACCTCCCACTTTAGCTCTTGCACGCGTTACCATCTCACCTACCACCACACATCTAACTTAAATAAGATACGCTTTCCTTTTAAATTCAGTTTGAAGACACCTTTAGTCCGGGTTTGAGACATAAATCGGGACTAAAGGTACTTTTAGTCCAGGTTCGTGTCTCAAACCGGGACTAAAAGTCACACTTTTAGTCCGAGTTCATGTCTCAAACCGAGACTAAAGATTCTCACACTGACATGCCTCTGACACACCTTGGTAACCGTTGGGCAGGGACCTTTAGTCCCGATTGGAGCTACCAACCGGGACTAAAAGTTTCTCTAGTCCCGGACGCAAAAAAATATCAGGACTAAAGCCAATTTTTAAAGTGGATCAAAAGTCATTTCTCGTGACCCTAGCCCTGCAGTGGGTTGTCTCCGCCGCCTGGCGCAGTTTCGGCTCAACCATCTCCCATAGCACGGATTCCAAGGGAGGCCTTTTCCGCAGGTTCGAGATCTGGACCAAGAACGAGGCCTTCTTCCGATACTACCGAGCCGAGTGGGTCGAGCTATTGGAGGAGGTGAAGCGAGATTTCGGCGCTTGCCTTAAGATGCCGCCTCCGAGAATGCTCCATAGCACCGTGCCTTTCTACCTCTACCCTTGTTTCTTCGCTTCTCCTATCCCCTGGTCCTGATTGCTCGGTGGCCGGCTCTACCATTATCATTAGAGTTTTGCTCCGGTGGTCCTCTTTTCAACAGTTGCACGCATCTTAAATCACGTGGGTAGTTAATTAAAATTAATTATGTTTGGATCTGGACTCGGGCTGACCCTGTCCATGTCCATGTCCATGTCCAAACCCATGCCCTAGTCCAATCGATCCGTTCTCATCTGCCGCCCACCCCAACTCGATCCGTTCTCGTCTCGCACATTTGTAACAGGAACCGGAGAGGAGGCGGCGGCGCCAGCCATCCTGCTCGGGCTTGTTCGCATCGCCGACGGGCGAGGGGTGGCGGCGGCGTCGCATGGAGGGCTAGGTAGCTGCAAAGCACGGAGGGCAGGAAGCGTTTGCTCGTTCTTCTTAACGTTAAGGTTGCGCCGGACTTCGTCATCGAGCCGTACTCGCACGCGGTAAGCTTGCTTATTCAGATGTTACACGCGCAGCAAAGCCGTACAAGTTTTCTAGTCGAACCCTAACCTAACGCGCGGACTCTGGGGCCGCCGGAACAATGCCGTCGAGCGCGTCAGGATCCGACCTCCTCTTCTCCACTTCAGCCCTCTCCGGCGGCGGCAGCGGCGGTGTCAGTGCCACCACTGCTACCACAAAGTCCAGCAGCGAGATAGAGGTCGAGACGAGACCCTAGGCCTGGCGCAGTTTCGGCTCAACCATCTCCCATGGCACGGATTCCAAGGGAGGCCTTTTCCGCAGGTTCGAGATCTGGACCAAGAACGAGGCCTTCTTCCGATACTACCAAGCCGAGTGGGTCGAGCTGTTGGAGGAGGTGAAGCGAGATTTCGGCGCTTGCCTTAAGATGCCGCCGCCGAGAATGCTCCATAGCACCGTGCCTTTCTACCTCTACCCTTGTTTCTTCGCCTCTCCTATCCCCTGGTCCTGATGTGCTCGGTGGCCGGCTCTACCATTATCATTAGAGTTTTGCTCCGGTGGTCCTCTTTTCAACAGTTGCACGCATCTTAAATCACGTGGGTAGTTAATTAAAATTAATTATATTTGGATCTGGACTCGGGCTGACCCTGTCCATGTCCAAACCCACATGCCCTAGTCCAATCGATCCGTTCCCATCTGCCGCCCACCCCAACTCGATCCGTTCTCGTCTCGCACATTTGTAACAGGAACCGGAGAGGAGGCGGCGGCGCCAGCCATCCTGCTCGGGCTCGTTCGCATCGCCGACGGGCGAGGGGCGGCGGCGGCGTCGCATGGAGGGCTAGGTAGCTGCAAAGCACGGAGGGCAGGAAGCGTTTGCTCGTTCTTCTTGACGTTAAGGTTGCGCCAGACTTCGTCGCACCAGAGGAGTTCGCGGAGGAGGAGCTTGCACCGGACTTGGCGACAGTCGTCAAGGTTGCGCCGGACTTCGTCGCGCCAGAGGAGTTCGCGGAGGAGGAGCTCGCACCCGACTCGGCGACACGTCCGTCGAGCCGTACTCGATCTGCGGCAACGAACCGCAGCAACGCGCCATGCAGAGATGCAAAAATCACGCCACAAAACGAGGACATGCAACATGCAAGTGCCAAAGGGGAAAAAATCCGGCGCGGTCAAAAACGAGCCTCACAGTGGCATGCAAAATCGTGCGTCAAGCCAAAAAAATACCATGCATGCGGGCGATCGAACCGTGCACTGCAGCCTCGGGACACAGCGTGCTAACCTGTCTAGCTGCGAAACGTTTATTTTATGGGAGAACCCGCAGCCCTGTGTAATGGTGTCCCGAGGAGGTTCGCTTCTTCTTCACCGGAGCCGGCGCCGCAGCCGCCAAGGGCACTGCCTCCGCCGGCGACTCCTGCTCGGGCCCCACCTCTCCGGATTTGCGCCGCGCCTCGGCTCCCTCCGCC